CACTGAGCCAGGTTCGTGAACAAAAGACGGTTGTATAACACAGCACAATCTGGGCTCTGTTTACAAGGCTGCAGGCCTGGCTGAAATAATCGGGCGTCAATGAAGGTCACCTGTCAACTTAGAGTAGTGCCTGAAGATTACTCCGTGTGACTATAAACGACTGTTAAATGGAATGATGAATTGTTGAAGGATTTTGAAAATGGAAAAAATGATAGTCATGCCGGCCCAGCATCCTCAACGTTGAAAAATGCCCCGGCACAAAGTGGTTAAGAAAGTGTAATCGCTGCCCCTTCAATTGCTCTTATTTACTTGTAAGTCACAAACTCAGCTTAATTGCCACATTGACGGGTTGGTGTCATTCTCTTGCCATTACTGAGCATCCAGGTCAGTGCAGGGCAAGCTCATGCTTGGATTCACAGGCATTGCAAGGGAAAGGGGTGCAAGTGTTCCTCCTCCCCTCCAATTTTTTTAAAATAAAATCACCAATTCCCTTGAAAAAAACCTTCCCTTGAAGCCCCCCTCCCCACTGTTAACAGTTTATCAACTCATACCAGATGAGTGCTTACCTCCGCTCCCCGATTGCCCTGAAATGTTAACCCTGGGAAAGAAGTGGATCACTGCCCCCCTGGAAATAATCCTGGCAATGCCCCTGCTTGGATTGGCCTGGAGTTTGGATCGGTTTGGAGAAGAATCCACCTTTGTAAGATAGAAACTTGTTGATTAAGATTTATGGGTTTTTTTTGTCCCGCCCAAATTTGCTTTCCAGGGATGCCAGCAAGCCTAGCAGCAGCACTCCCAGCTCTCCTCGAGCTGGCTCAGCTGCGTCCTCGGCCCCGACGGCAACAACTGCAGCCTCTGTCGCTGGCCCATCCCCACGGCAACAGAAGCCTGGTGGACAAGGCGCCAAGAAGAAGCAGAACAAGAAGAAGAAGGGGGGTCAGAAGTGGTGAGGGCCTCGGGTAGGCATCAGGGAGATATCTGAGCGTTCCCATGGACTTAGAACAACTTTGTCAACTGTTCGAATAGACCGAATCTACCCATCAATTCATGTGACCTATAATGGGTATCAAACATCAACAAACATGGCGTCCTCCCATAGGAAACTGTGTGTCATGTGTTTGCTAAAAATGAAGCTGATTTTTTGGTAAAGCACTCACCACCTCAATTATCTGAGTACTTTACCCACCTTTGGGTTTATTTTTTTGTAAATGCCACTTATGACACATTTTGCTGTGGGAAAATGCCATGTTTGTTGACATTTAATAGGTCACATGACTTCGTGGGTCCAATCCGTCTGTTTCACAGCCTTTGGGTTATACTTGTTGAGACAGTACGCCTGCCTTGACCCTAAAAGATCCGAGAGGAGGGAATGGCCCCTTCAACATGTTTTCCAATATTGTGACATTACTGTTTGTCTCACTTATCGAGCCTTCGTGCATATTTTTAGTATAATCTTCCGATCATTTTGACGCCATTTTTTTTTTTAATCAGACATACTGTTGTCACGCAGGGCCCACTTTTCCAAGATGGGTCAGCCAAAAATGGATACTTTTTCCACTGACTTGCTTGATTCATGCAGGCCAACATGCGTGTTGCATTGAAATTTAAATGGTCATAAAAACAAAAATGTCAAGTGGAATTGGGTTGAAGCCTCACATGAGTGTCGTTGCATGCATGCCAAGTCTAGCAATGTGGCATTGACACAGTTGACAGTTTTTTTTTGGGGGGGGGACGGTAGAATCTGCCCTCCCCGGCTGTGAGTCCAAAAACCCAGCTCTTGTAGAGTAAATATGACAACAGTCTATCAGGTCTGAATGCCTGCTGTAATCCCCTTGTCTACCTGTATTTAACCAATATATTGTAAATCTTGCTAAAATTGTTCAGTAACAGTAAGTCACAAACCCACAGATTTAAGCTCGGTGAGATGCAGCTTCACCAGGGCAGTGCAAAGGGCTTACTGGTTGCCTCCCGCACAACACACCAGAATTTGTATAGGCTTTGTACAGGTTTCAGGAAAAGTTGATGAAATCATTGCAAGACTGGTTGTCTTTCGACAAGCATGTTCTGATTGCCATGCCTAAAGCACACAGTGGTCAAATAATATTGGAGACAAATTGTGAAGTAAGGAACGGTTGACCACGAAATCATAATTTATTCTTCTTTTTCAATCTTATTTGAACGAAAGTAGTACATGTACATCTCATGCGTTAATGGTAATACCTAAGGAAATATGACTTTGCTAACCCTTTCCATAAAGTTACCGGAAAAACTCTGTTTGAAACTTTTTTTTAAATTTCTTATTCCCTGCTCAGAGTGTTAGCAGATACTTGCTATTCTCAAATCACTTTTTATTTTGAGTTATTTGTTTAGTTCTGACGATAGTCAGATTACCTTTTAAATGTATGATTCACTTATGAATTACTCCCACGCGTAAGACAAACTGAACCAAAAAAATCTATGTGGTATTGGAACAAATGAAGTTATCTTACAAATTGCTTCACTTCATAACTTACCACACTAATCAACAGAGGTCTACCAAGGATAGGTACGCTCTTTTTCGCCTCTTCGGTGAATCTGTTTCCTGTAAAAGCATTGCTATTGGCCTGACAAAAACCTAAAATATACAGCATCCAAATTGACAGGCTACTCGCACACGTTAAACCGCAGCTGGCTACCAGGCCGGGTCCTATATGGACGAGAATATAATATCAAATCAGTGCTCTGAAATATGTGATGGCAATCACATATTTCAGAGCACTGATTTGATATTTTATTCTCGTCGATATTCTGATCACGGTTCTACGCAGCCCTTCCATATTTCTCGGGTCCTATATTGGACGGGGACCAGACTGTTCTCTGATTAGTGGGGTGTTATGACTCGGCAAAATGCGCGCACGCGTTAAGTTGAAACAATAGTTATTTGTTTAGTTCTGACGATAGTCAGATTACCTTTTAAATGTATGATTCACTTATGAATTACTCCCACGTGTAAGACAAACTGAACCCAAAAAAATCTATTTGGTATTGGAACAAATGAAGTTATCTTACAAATTGCTTCACTTCCTGTGTTTCTTTAAGTTGAATATTTTGTGGGAAAATATCCACGCATCCCTTACCTCGTACAACAGCAACAAAATCAACGAAATAAAGCTGATGTTGTGCACTTGAAACTTTCATTCTTGTGAGTTTCAGAGTACTGTGGAATATAATCCGGTGACCAGAATTAGAGGTCGTTGTTACGGGCTCTATCCTGTGCGCACGCAGATGGTACTCCCGCATTACACTTCTCCGAATAGGCTGGTTCCCGGCCCGTACGTAGTCTCCAGACGTCTTACAGACGTCCTCTGAACGTAGGGACCGGTAGCGGGTAATGAATCCGGCAGAATTCTGCCCGGTGTATGTAAATGAGGAAACGATGCCCGCTCAATGCACAAATCAAGCAGGAGCTGATAGCGTATTTTGCTTTTTCTCCTTTGTTACAGAAAGTAACTTCACCATAAATGATTCATTTGTGTATAATATACCGGTACCACAGTAACCACTGATTTGAAATAAATTGCCGTAATGTGATTTATTGATGATAATTGTTGAAAATAAATTATTACTACACTAATCAACAGAGGCCTACCAAGGATAAGTACGCTCTTTTTTCGCCTCTTCGCTGAATCTGTTTCCTGTAAAAGCATTGCTATTGGCCTGACAAAAACCTAAAATATTCAGCATCCAAATTGACAGGCTACTCGCACACGTTAAACCGCAGCTGGCTACCGGGCCGGGGCCTATATCACAAATTTCAGAGCACTGATTTGACATTATATTCTCGTCGATATTCTGATCACGGTGCTCAGCAGTCCTTCCATATTTCTCGGGTCCTATATGGGACGGGGACCAGACCGTTCTCTTATTAGTGGGGTGTTATGACTCGGCAAAATGCGCGCACGCGCTAAGTTGAAACCATAGATATAGAATGTTCCATGGTTGAAACCCGTGCTCGAGTGTGATGGCCCCGCAGGAATGGCGTTTCCTCAGATTTGTCTGTACATATCTCCCCGTACAGACGAAAGCTTTCATCTGTACATCATACGCAACTATATTGCTACCCATGCTACATTTGCTTTCAATGACTGTGAGCCCCCTTGTGAAATTTCACCCTAGTTACGTCACCGGCGGATGGTGATGGTGTGGAAAATGGTTTGGGCCATTGTTGCGTCTCCCTGCAAGGAAACTGCTGCGAACCGGTTCTGCAAACAATAACGGCGCAGGAAAAGAAAGAGTAGGTTAATGTAGACCACAAACCATTGGCAAACTGCTTTGTAACTCACAGGAAATGCGTCCATGTTATAGTATCTCCGTTTTGGTTGCATTCCAAGTCACAGAAATTCGACCGAAGTCGGATTTCTTAGTACGTGTGACAAAATAAGTCTCGGATATTTCATAAAAGCAGTTTATTTTCTTGCCACCACACTTAAATATTGACGAACTGATCTGCATGTACGGGAGTTTGGGATTTTTTTTCTCCCGAATGGCTTGTTTATTTTATCACATCTACCTCTGAACTTTACCAATCAAACATTGAACAAGGTTGCATCCCCATTAATCCCTGTTATCAGACGCACTATGTTTTTGAAAAGGAATCCACAGGAATAAGTAAGTAACGTATAAATAAATGTAAGTTGTGTAAGGGCTTTCCCCTGGGATGGAACGGTCCTCCATGGATAGAATTATGATTTCTCCGTGGCGGACAATTTGGCTGGAAACTACTTACCGTGAAATAGATTTGGCGTCGAATAACCCTGGCAGAATAAAGAGATCTGGTGGCTCTGCTGAGTTTTTCCCGTTTTGAGATCTGGAAGGAGGTATCGATGGATTTCCCTTTGTGAAAAGGGTAAATGTGAGCTGGCAATCCAGGCCATTCGGGTGAATAATGTAATTTTTCCAGAGGCATGTGACATGTGTTCGTAATAAACAGAATTTTCGTGTGGACTCAATTAAATGAATGGCAACACAGGATGCGGCCCTCGCGGATACTTTAAAGGAGGTATTACGCAGTTTGTCTTTTTCCACCTCAATGACCTTCACCCTTTCTGATTAAGCCTTCCCTTATTTTAAAGCGATTGTTAAATGGTAACTGGACTTCTTAAAAGAGGGAGGGGTTGGGGAAGGGAGCTTACCCTCCCCATTTACGCCGTGTTGATACTGCCCGGTAGATTTATCCATTTACATTTTGTAATCCATGAATTTCCCCTTTGGAACCCGCTAGAACAGTGCATTCTTTACAGTTAGTTGATTGTTGGTTTTTATCCTGTCTGGTGCCCTGTGATCATTAAATGGATTAATCATCAGCCAATTTCCTTATTCAGAGGCGCCGTGCGGAATTCTGATCGAGTCTCACGAAACTTCAATCGGCTGCTTTGTACGACTCGCGTAGCCAGTCCGTGATTTGCAGCAAGTGGTTAATTGGCTGAAAACGTGTAAATTGTAGCCAATCAAAATTAACGTTCATTAATAGACTACGCCCACATTGACATGGACATAATCTACATGCAGCTCTTGTCCTCGCTTTCATTTCTCATGTTTTATGGCAGTGTATCTGTGTTCGTGTACCCGGGTGTGCAGTTCTCAACTTGTTTACAGAGGCAAGGTTCATCGTCCGGCAGAATCACCTGTTGTCGAAAATCGGGCGATACTACATTCGCTTTACTACTGAACTGAATGTGGGTCTGTTGTCTAGAGCACCTGTAAGCGGGTGAGTGCTCTTATACGGTGCTATTTCGCAGCAGTGAAAGTGACTATAGTTAGCAGAGCGTCAGAAAGACGGTATCTCGCAGCTGCTGTGGCTCGTAGATTGACCTGACTACCTTAGTAGACTAGGTGCCTTCTTGAAGGGTCAGCATCATCCAGTATCGACGTGCTTTAGGTGGGTTGGCGTTGACGACCGCGGGTACCATGCCGCGTGGGGTAGCGTCGGGTGGCAGCTTGATGAGCAAACGCCCCAGGCCCAGTGAGACGCACCGAGTTTTCTGCCGTCTGCTTCTCGCAGTTTGTAAGTTTTATGAAAACATTTAGTGTCAAAAGAGATTAGTTAATGCATCAGGTAATTAATGGCGTTTCGAGTTTGGGGACCCGGGGAGGGAGGGGGCAGGGCTGGGTCAAGTTTGGTTTGTTCTGCTTTGCATTTTGAATTTTTTTAAAGGACTTGAAAGTACTACTACTTAAACGGCACTGTCGCGGTCGCAATGATCTCTGTGCTAGGTATTGTCATCATTTTCAATATTTAAAAAAAAAATAAAATTCAGGACCCCGAATCCCCGGCCTCTGCCCAAGGTTTGTATGCTGCTGATAATGATGAGAGAAAAAAAGAGATGTCGTCATTTACGAACACGGATGAACTGGATATATTCGAGGGTCATTTCCTTATTGAGCGGTAGTCGTTACTGAGTTAACACTGGAAGCGGATGCGATGCGGTCTTCCCGTGAAGTCAAGGTTCGTTGGAAAAACGATAACACATTGAATTGTTTAATGGGAAAGACTTCACATGGATTTTCGCAAACTCACATGAATTTTCACAAACGGGAAAACAGTAAAAGCTGTTTCAGTCGTGCGAATAAAAAACTTGGAAGCGCATTTATTGCATGCTCGAAACGCCAGGCCGTCGGAGTACACCGCCGCGTATTTTAGTTGAGCTGTTTATGCTGTCAGCATGCGTGCTTTCTCGTAAAGAAGCTGAGTACCTCAAGAGTGAACACAGGAACTTGAGGAAGGCAGCTCAAGATGGAAAGTGGCAGTGATAAATACTGAAGTATTCTGTAGTAGGCTACATGTCCCTTCAACCCTCGTGACATTTAATGTGCTGTAGCATGCAGCTCAGCAAAACGGATTAACTAGGAATAGCAAAAAGCCTTAGGCTGCCTACAAATCAACAGATGGATATTGAAAGCACCAGCCTCGGTAACAATGGACCTCAGTATAAATTGCCTTGAGCATACAGTGCAAGGCTACATCAGTCAAAAGTCCACTTAGTATCTCTGTTTGAGACGATTTCGAGACATCCTTAAGTCCTTTAAAGGCTTAGCGAAAAAGGCCTTCGTGTTGTTGCTTGAACCGTCGGCGTTACTTTACGACATGCTGGATGCTGTCCGAATCTGATCCTTTGCTATACCTGGTAAGATATTGGATGGAGAGGGTATCCGTGTCTAAACCCCATTGACACTCCAGACCACTGTTAACTAACACATCCCCCTAGAGGCCTGAAAAGAATTCCTAAGATCTGGCCAATGTACCCTGCAAGATATGGGACGGGGGGGCTACCCCCTACATGCCCGATCCCTATACGCACTCTTAGTGACTATTGTTACCTTACACACACCCCTCCCAAGATGTCTGGAAAAGATTTCCTGAGATTCTGATCAAACAATAATTACACCAACACAAAGGTGGGGCGCTCTCTGTCCATATCTTGCTTCCAGTGATGCAGACACACGGCATCGCCCCATTGATTAAGACTCGCCTCAGACAGTGTGCCGCACCACTGTCTGATTGGCGCGTGCCTCTTGAACAAAATTCTTCGTTACAGGGCCTTTAACAAGCCCAATTAAGTTGACACGCATATGTGCCACTTAGTCCTTCTTGGTCTTCTCTGATTTCAACCACCTGGTCCACATTAGACTTCTTGGCCTATCGCCATACCATACACCCTGTCGGTATGTGGGCATCTTATATCATCAACGGCCACAAAAAAGGTTTTCCTTTTTTTGTAGAATTCTTTTGGTTTTCCCCTCCGGCTATTCTTGTTTCAGCATGCTCATTTTCTGCGGTTTTAACTTCATGGGTCGAGAACCCCACTTTGTTTTTTGGAGATTTAACCATGATGAAGAAGTTTATTGCAGTTATTTTTTTTACATACAATTCCATTATGATATATTCCGGTCACAATATCACTTTTGAGTAGGTTTGAAAATAATTATGCCTGACCAAAACTTGTGCCTGTTTGATAGCCTTTTCCTCCAAACATGAAATAAAATTTTGCACTGCTCGTAAACTGACCTTTCAAGTCTAAACTCTCATTCCGTGCAAAGAATTTCCTTTGTGCAATAATTAAAATTGAACCATAATGTTGAGCGTAGTTTTCATATTAGATATCTGTGACGTATCCCTGTTGGTCCCGTTGGCTTTACGATCCCGTGTTTTAATATGGACTGACTTGATTATGAATTGACTGTTGTCTCTTGACTGATTGCACCTTTGCATAAAGTACATGTATAATCGAATTCGACTGAGTACGGTGCGTCCCTGTAGGCCCGCTCACGTACTTTATGCTGACCAGTACTGTAAGGAACGATTCCTTACAGTGAGATGCAGTGAGATGTATAAAAAGCGACAGTATCAAATTATTGCCCCAAAATGTGACTTCCGATTTGGGGAATTGAAGCTAACAACCCCCGGGGGAGAAGCGATCAAAGCTGAACGCTGATAAACACCTCGTGGGGGTGGTACAGGGGAAAGACTCGGGAACACGGTAGAACTTTTGTAAGTTCAGTCGCATCATTTCGAGTGGTTTATCTTGGCAAGTTGGCACCTTGAATTTCGGGTGCAGGAGAAAATAATCAATTGGACCCGTCATTTTAAAATATATGAACATATAAATTAAAAGTGACAAATTCATGAAATTCTAAATTTCGGAGAGTCATAGTGCTAAAGGTACACAGCACTACCATCAAACTCGAGACCGTTCGCAAAATCGTACGTTTCTTATAGATCTTTCAAAATACACTGAGAACTTGACGTTCATAACAGCACTGTGCTTCAAGTTGTACGCTACGAGGCAAAAATATACTTTTTGACGGATGTTGAAAAGTATCGCTTAAGTTGAAAGTATTACCTTTGGTTATGATGATGCTTTCTACGTAGAAAGTATTGCGGTCTTATTTTTAATTTCACAACAAATTTACCCTTTGAAAAGATCAGGATCTGGCATGGATGGGTGATATGTTGTCCGGAAGAAGACCATCGCAAAAACACAAGTAGTCTTGTAACTTAAGTGATGAATAGTTATCTTGGAAGATTAATTTCCTACTATTTTCGAGGGATTACGTCACTTCAGAAAGTTTCTTTTCGAGGGCTTAAATCACTTTTGAAGGGGGGGGGTGTACTTAGTCCCTAGAGCAAAACCCGTTCGAGCGGAAAGAAGCGCGAGACCCTGAACGGCATATGGGAAATTTGTGGATTCCAGATGTCCTGTGTTAGGATCTAAGGCAATTTATGACTGCTTCACCCAATTCTTGAGCATTTTCAAGTTGAAAATTGTTTTCAGACTTGGAGGATCTGATAATGAGTTGTATAAAATCAAATATGAACCTACAATTCTTCCGTAAACAAAGAAGGAGGGCGAAACAAACGATATTATATCTCCCTCATCAAAAGTGGGGGAGGGGATGTTCCCCATCCCACACTGATTGACGCCTCTGTCTATTTCAGTAAATTTTCTCGTATATCCAGGGGAAAACAATGTTTGTTATAAAACTATAGTTTCTTGTGTTGTTTTGGTGCTTTCATTTATTTATCCTGTTAAAGTTTCAATGTGTGCGTGACCAGACAGTGTTCTAACAAAATGTTATACAAGTCATGTACTCTTAAGCTTATGGGTCACGGAGTACTGTCGACTGCTACACGTGCACTTTTATAGATTTGAGAGATTGCGTTGTGAAGCCTCCATGACATGATTGCCACATGCCGAGGGTTGGAACTGAAGTTACAAGTTCAAGTCATATCAAGGTCCCTTTTATCCGCCACCATTAAATACACGCAGCCACCGGTAATAATCCATCGCCAGACATGATGGAACAGGTGTGATACCGGATCAAATCGGACCAGTGTCGTTTCAAGAGTTCATTGGCGTTGTTTTTGCATTCTGGAAAACATTGCCCCGGAATAATCCGATAAACTGATGCCCGCGCGTATAGATTCGATGGTGAGTAGCCTGCGTGCCGCGGGCCAATCTCATAGAGCTGCTTAAGCACAAAATCTGTTCAGGCGTGATAACCTTAGCTCGATAAGTTACCAGCCAAAAAGTCCATATGTTGTACGTGTATAGGCCTATTGTTCGAGAATGGTCTTTTGGTTAGCATGAAAATCACGTAGAGTTTGAGCTGGTAATGTTTGTTTTTAAGCAACGTTTTTTGCGCTCGAGCAAATTTTGTGCTTAAGCAGCTCTTTGAAATTGGCCGGGAAGAGTCCGGGGGGGGTTCCCCTAGTCCCTTTGGTTACGTAGCCAGGCTTATCGGGGGCGGGGACGAGAGGGGGCGAGGGTTACCACAGGGGTAGTTGCCCCTTCCCTGATGCGGCTGCGCTGCTGCAGGGATTCAACTTTAAAGAGTTTGTTTCTTTTTGCCTTATGAAGTTCTCAGCGTGTTACTGCTAGTTGCTGCAGAAGTAAATTTATCAACGGTTTTTGCCAGAGAGCACATGAACTATTCGCTAGGATGTAAAGGGAAATAACTGTCTTTAATTCTGCATTTAGGAGCAACTCGATCGAGTACCAATATAGTGAAACAAATAGTATTTTTAACACTTGCTATTTAAGCGTAAACAGTTAAAGTGACATTTTATGTTCAGTGATTTGTTAGGACCCCCAAGCCTCCTTCAGTTTGACCGTTTCAGAAGTCTTAAAGTTGAGTTATAAAGCAGGCCATTACAGCGTGACATTGAATCGTTGGTAACACCCAGCTGTTGAAAAGTCTTAAATTCTGTCAAAAGGTCGATCTATAACAGATCTTTGCTTGTTTCACTGAGGAAAATGTGATGCATTATTCATTACTTCTAGCTCTTTAAGTTAACGCTAAAGCCGCAACTATATTTCATTTTCAACAGACAATATATGCACAGTCGACTCTGTCCGGGTGATCTGTGCCTTTGTGGTTTACTGCAAGATTAACACTGTTGGCTGTAAATCTCAGCCTAAAACCTGTCAACCTTACTACCCGTTGTAAAGACCTGATCGATTGAAATGTTTATTACATGAAACCTCAAGCCCGTGGGCGTTGATA